TGGAGAGATTTTCGCTATCGGGCACATGCACTCTCCAGACAGACAGAGAGAGACAGAGAGACAGAAAGTGGGGGGTCCGGGATGCGAACCGTGGTCGACTACGTGGGAGTCCAGCGACATAGCCATTACGCTAACTGCTGGTTCCCTATTTATTTATTTTTTAAGGTAAAGTATTTTCTTGGCTCTCAGTGCCTCCTTTATGTTGCTAATTTTTGCCTTTCCTCCCTCTTATTTAGGAGTGGCAGAAACTCAGATCTTCTGAGGTACTTACTGAACTTGAGCTGTGAAAAATTACTTTCAGGAATAACTGTGTACTGAAGATTTTCTGCTGAGACTTCATCCTCCAGATTCCAATCTAGAAAGTGGTAGGGCCTCTGTATGCTTCTTTCTCTCTCTCTCTCTCTCTCATTTTTAAAAATTTTTCTTCCTATTTTTTTTAAGGTGAAGTCTTTTCTTGGCTCTTAGCCCCTCCTTTATGTTGCTAATCTTTGCATTTCCCCCCTTCCATTTAGGAGGGCAGAAACTCAGTTCTTCTGAGCTGCTTACTTAACTTGACTTGTCAATAATTACTTTTGCACTGCACTTGTGTGCCATGCAGTTTTCTTTTCTTTTCTTTTTTTTTGTCTTTTTAAAAGAAAAAAACTTATCTCTTTTCTTCCTTTCTTTCTTTCTTTTTTACTGTTTTTCTCTTCCTCTGTTTTCTTTTCCTTTTTCCTTTACCTTCATCTCTTTGCTTCTCAGCCTCTATGCACTGAGTGTCTAAACAGGTTTAAGTGAACCATAGCCAAACATCTGAATACTAGGGGGTCAGAATATTTCTCAATCCCCACTGAAACTGATGCACAAAGGGAGAAAAACAGAACAGCTGAGAGAATGCCGATCACCTCCTCCTTTGGGTCTCTGAATGCTCAGGTTGAACTTCAAGAAATCAGGAAGAAATATATTGCCCATCAGAAGACCAGGAATCACCACAGGGGCACAACAAATATAAGAAAGCAAGAAAATATCTCTCTTCCAAGGGAAAAGAATAACTCCTCTTCATCTCCACAGAGTACAATGGAATTCGCAGAAACATCTGATAAAGAATTGAGAATACTGGGAACCAGCAGTTAGCGTAATGGCTATGTCGCTGGACTCCCACGTAGTCGACCGCGGTTCGTGTCCCGGACCCGGTGGCTTAAAACTCACGCCGGGCGCGTGTGTGTGCGTGCCCAAGATCCCGAGAGGAGAATGGAGGAGAAGGGATTGCGGTGTGACCATCCCCCCTGGGGGTGATTTCTCACTTTCTGTCTCTATGTCTCTCTCTGTCTGGCTGGCGAGCGCACGCGTCCTACAGTGAAAATCTCTCCAAAAAAAAAAAAAAATAGTAACAAAGCTAACAGAGATGCAAGAGAAGAGAGACAATGAACTCCAGAAGAAGCAGCAGAAAGGAGCTGATGAGTTCCAGGAGGTGAGGAAATTCTTACGCGGTCTGAAAGAAGAAATACACATCATAAAATAGAATCAAACGGAACTGTTAGAGATGAAGGCTGTAATACAGGAAATCCAAACATCCCTTGAAAATATTAAAAGCAGACTAGATCATACAGAAGATCAAATCTCAGATGTAAAAGATAGAATCACTAGCCTAGAAAAATCCACCATAAAGACTGAGAAAATAACCTCCCAAAAATGAAAATAATATACAAGGAATACTAGATACCATTGAACATCCAAACATACAGTAAAGTGGTATCCCAGAAGATGAAGAGACTGAGACTAGTAAGGGCATTGATCATCTATTGCATGAAATCCTAGAAGAAAACTTTCTAAGCCTAAAGAGGCATTCAAAGATCCAGACCCAAAAAATACAAAGGACCCTAAATAGAGTCAACCCAAGAAGATCTTTTCCAAGACACATTATAGCCACATTGACCAAAACCACAGACAAAGACAAGATACTAAAATTGGTATGAGAGAAGCATCAAGTTACTTACAAAGGATATCCCATCAGGCTAATAGCAGACCTCTCATCCAAAACAATGAGAGTAAGAAAAGAATGAGAAAATATATTCAAAGTCTTAAGTAAAAAACAGTTTCAACCAAGAGTACTATACCTGGCAAGATTACCTTTCATATGGGAAGAAAAGACAAGAACATTCTCAGATAAACAAAACGTGAAAGAATTTACCAGCACCAGGCCAGCTCTCCAAGAAGTTCTGAATGTAGTGCTATACCAGGAAAACTAAATACAGACACACAGAAATAGAGTTCAAAAACAACCAAGAAAATGGCCAACTTAATGGTAGGGAGAAGTTGAATGTTATCTTCCATAATTTAAATAGAAAGATCAGACCACAACAGAAGAGAGATTAATTACATGAGATTGAACTGGTCAAATAGAATTTTATGACTTGTGTCTAAAACATTAATGGTTTTCTTCTATGCTGTTTTTGTCCAGATTTAAGGATTTGTGTCTTCTCTTGAGATGTGGACAGGTTCATGTACCTACCATTTGAACAGAATCCTAACCTGTTTCCTGGCTTTAAGTCTTAAGTAAATTACACTTAACATATTTTTACTTTTGTTTATTAAATTATTAACTGCTTTTCTTGACATTTATATATTAAAAATAATAATAATAATAGCTATTTAAGGACTATAGTAAGCTATATAGCCTCAGCTAGGTGCTACATTATAATACGTTCATTCTACTCATGGAGTTTCATGCCTAAAGTCATGTGTATATATCAGCTAAACTTTTAATTTAAAGTATTTAGGTTAAGGGTTAGCAGGTGGTGTGGTGGTTAAGGTGCTGGACACTCCCACATGGCCAACCACAGTTCAAGTCCCGGACCTGGTGACTTGCTTTGTCACTTTCTCTCTCTCTCTCTCTGTCTCGCTGGACAAATTAAAATAAGTGAATGAATAAATAAAATTAAATAGATAATTCTTTTTAAAAAAAGTATTTAGGTTAAGATATTTTGGGACTCAATAAAATGTCAGGGAAAAAAGGAATAGAAAACAACTATAGATACCAGAGACAATGTGGGAGGAGGCTGGGAAATGGCAGAGGGTGAAAAATAGGGAATAAAAAAAATATATATTTATGAAACAAGAAATGAAAAATTATTTCTTATTTTCCCTCTGTCTCTCCAGTGAGCATATGGACCCTGTGGCAAAAACCTTAAAAAACAAACAAATAAACAAACAAAAAGACATAGACTCCCAAAGCACCCAAAATATGTCCCTAGAATAGGTTTATTATATTCACTATTTTATATATATATATTCACTATTTTAAAATCGTAGAACTAGGGCCAGCCAGTGATGTGGTAGTTAAGGCAGGTGGATCTCACATGGCCCACTGTGTAGTTCAAGTCCTGGACCTGGTGACTTGAAAAACAGCTGGAAATGTGCCACTGTGCCCAAAATCCCAAGAGGAGAATGGAGGAAAGACTATAGCGCAGCCACTCCCACCCCCCACCCCCCGCCCTGGGGGTGCTTTTCACTCCCCCGCCTCTCTAGCATGTGCCCTATAACAAACAAACAATAAATAAAACTTATGACTGTAAATATTTTCTCCTCTTTAAAATGCATATAAACTCTTAAAAATAATGTAGTAGAACTGAGAATTTTCTCAAGTAATTAAAAGTGCTCTACATTTTGATGGCTGTATGGATGGCAGGGCTGAATAATCAGGCAAGATTCATTATTGTGGATAGTTGGACGGACAACATGATGAAGCAGAGAAAAAGATTAACAGCGGAATCTAAGTGGTAAATAAAGGAGTACTACCTGTAAAATTCTTTCCACTTTTTAAAAACTTTTTACTTATGTATATATTTATTCCATAAGAATACGGTGCACCTGGGGCCAGCAGACGGGATGGTGGTTAAGGTGCTGCACTCCCACATGGCTGACAGTGGTTCCAGTCCCAGACTTGGCGCCTTGCTTTCTCATTTTCCTTCTCTCTCTCAGGTCAAATTAAAATCAATAAATTAAATAAACAAATCTTCAAAAATAATAAAGAAAGAGTTGCACCTCCCAGCTGGGTTTTTTTTGTTTGTTTGTTTGTTTGTTTGTTTGTTTTGGAGAGGTTTTTCACTATAGGGCATGTGGCGCGCTCACCAGACAGACAGGGAGAGACAGAGACAGAAAGCGAGAAATCACCCCCCAGGGGGATGGTCACGCTGCAATCCCTTCTCCTCCATTCTCCTCTAGGGATCTTAGGCACGCACGCACATGCACCCAGCGTGAGTTTTAAGCCACCGGGTCCGGGACGTGAACCGCGGTCGACTACGTGGGAGTCCAGCCACATAGCCATTACACTAACTGCTGGTTCCCGTAAATATTTTATTTTATTTTATTTTATTTTTCTAGCTGGGTTTTCACGCCACAATCCACTGCCACCTTCAGCCAGGCAGGTCACAGGCAAGGGCTCGGTCGCCCTGCCAGCACAGGAAGACCTTTGGGAGGGACCGAGGGACCTTCTCCTGTGGGTTCAGGATTGCAGAGCTTTGCGTTTCCAGGGCACCACCCCGTGGTACCTTGTTTCAACTCTTTAGGCACGTTTGAAAGTTTCCATAATAATGAACACTGCAGAGTCTGTAAAGCTGAAGGGGTAGGAGAATAAGTTTAAAACAGAATAAAAGAAAAACACAATAGATCTACTGGATCTCGGATACGGCTGCGCGGAGATGAAAACTGCTTTACACTTGCTCAGTAACTGGGTCTCTGGAGTAGGTGAGAACTAACGACTGTCCTGGCAGC